TTGATCCATAATCACTCTTCTTGTTTGTCGACCTTTGAATATTTTATACCTTATATATATATTTTTCGTGGTATAATAATAGATAATACGCATATAATTTTAATTGAAGTGCTAGTCTCTGCACTTATGATGAAACTTAATAAAATGTTCGAAACATTTTTCAACGCTTTAACGATTCGAATCCTGCATCCGAATTACGGAACCAGACGCTCTACCACTAAGGTAAAATTCAGGCAAATCTTAAAACTATAACATAACAGTTGAAAACTAAATGAGTAATCAAATATTCCGCGCAGCACACGCGCCTAGGGAAAAACAAAGCTCAGAAAGGAAAAGCGAGACAAAGTTCAACTAATGGGTTAACGATTAGGCGGAAGGATGCTCGAGGTTTTTAATCGCCGCCGTCCGCGAAGTCGTTAATGGCGGGATTAGCTAAATGACAGTTCTATTTTTTAATACGCTGCGCGCGACACTCATGACGCCTCGGCCAGTTGCGTTCCGTTTTGCGACTGTGCTATTGAATCTATGATGAAAGTGGAACATCCGAAACAATGGAAACTTAATTCTTCATGTTAGTTTTTGTTGTTCACCGTTTTATTCTGTTATAGAATGTGGACATAATTTAAACTGTGTTTCGCACATAGCTCGGTAATAATTTGTACTGATGTACTTGAAGAGAGCATGACGCTGTCATTACAATTTGCTTTACAAAGAAGTAATTATATTACAAAGTTCTACACAACACTCATAAATTATGTGCCCTCAAAAAGACAATAATACCCTACAGAAAGACCTTATCATTTGTATGCTACGTAATATTACAAAATTTACAAAAAACAGATATGAGAAGGGATCAAAAAGTAGTGAGAATGAGATAGAATATAATGACAATTGATAACTTAATAATTTATTTTTCTACATAGTCTGCGAGTCTCTCTACACACGGAGTCAAGCGCTTATCAAAGGCATCAATCCCTTTCAAAAAAAAGGTTTTTCTTGGTCCTGCAAAAAGCTCTCCACGGCATCCATCACCTTGTTACCATCTTCGTACTTGATTCCCCTTAAGTTTTCTTTCGGTTTGGGGAATAGATAAAAATCGCTAGGCGCCAGATCTGGTGAATAAAGGGAGTGGTCAACCAATTCGAAGCCAGCTTGCTGAATGGCAGACAACGCAACTGCCCACATGTGCGCGGGTGCGTTGTCGTGATGAAACAGCACGCCCCTTCGAAGTTTCCCTCTCCTTTTCTCTTTGATGGCCTTGGGAATTAAAGCTGCATAATATTGGCCTGTAATAGTCGTTCCACGCTCCAGGTAATCAATCGACAATATCCCTTCTGAGTCCCAAAATATTGAAGCCATAACCATGCCAGCCAATGCCCAGGCACGAAACTTCTTCGGGGTCGGTGATGATGGCCGTTTCCATTGCGAAGATTGCTCTTTTGTCTCGGGATTAAAATGATAGACCCATGTTTCGTCCATTGTTACGAAACGAAACAAAAAGTTTTCAGAATCTTCCAACAATAACTTTAAAATGTCAAGTCGATTTTGTTCCTGACTGTCAGTTAACATTCTCGGCACTCATCTTGCGGATCTTATCATATTCAAAGATTATATCAATATGGATCGAATACTTCCATATGAAATGCCCGTTTCTTGAATTAAGTATCGGACGGTAACTCTTCGATCGCTCAATACAATTTTTTCGACTTTCGCAACATTTTCTTGGGTGACAGACGTCGATGAACGGTTGCAACGATGTTAGTGTTCCGTGCTTGTTCTCCCTACTCGAAAATTGAGAAGCTCACCTTGCGAACGTGGATTACGGCGGAGCAGACTCTCCCAATGTTGCCTCCAAATCGCAATGCATCTCTTGCGTCATTAACTTTTTTAAACAGAAGTATTTAATAACGACTCGCACTTCGTTTTTCTCAATTTCGAGAACACGTTACGATACGAAGCAAACAAATGACTACATTCAGATTAAAACTAAAGATTATCGAAGAATTTTTTCTTTATTAATATTACCAATATGTATCTGAGCTATGTCTGCCGGTATTTTTTTCTCTTAACAAGGAGTATGTACTACTTTTTCATCCCTCCTCGTGCATACTAAAAGTTGGTTGAAGCATAAGAAAGAAATATAAATATATAAAAAGGAAATATAATGAAAAAATGTTTTTACATATAAATTAGCAACTAATACGATTAGCTTAATGAACTCATTCAGCTATTAAGCAAACACTCCCAATACATTAATACAAATAAATAACCGCAAGCAGTCATTCCGTTCGACAACGTCCGGAAAACCTATTTAAAATATGCCGGTCATAAGCAGTTAACAGACTAATAACGGTTAGACGTTATAACAACTATTGCGAAGGAATTGAAATTAACACCTCGCCGTACAAATATATTCTCTTATCTTAAATATAATTTAAGATAAGAGAATATATTGTTTATGAACAGGAAAAAATACACTAGAATTTAATAATTTTGGTAGGAACGCAACAGTGTTGGCTGTTGCACGAATGGGCAGGTCCGTCCAGGTAAGTTGAATCAAATATTGAACCTCCTAATCACATAGCCTATTGTGACACTTTTGCGATCTAGGGATGCCGAAAAAATATCGATATATCAATATTTTTCAGCCGATATATTTTGATCCGATATATCGATTTAAACATTCGATATCGAAATCGTATCAAAAACGATATTTTTTCAAATTCGAGTTCCGACCATTCAAATACTTGACATACGTTTTTTTCGAGAACAGGGCCAACGAAATTCCCAATAAATATCATAATAAATCATAAAAGAGTTTAAACGGCAAGACGCGTTAATTATGAGATTAGAAGTTAGTGTTAAAAGCAACTCAGTCTATCCCACGACCATGGATAGTACAAGGTATTTTAAAACGTCAGTAATTTAAAAACAATATAGCAGAGGGGTATTTGAAATTTATTCTGAATCTTCACTTCAAAGCACTCCAAGTTTAAATTATTATGGGTTCCGCGTAACTTCTCATAGTAAAAATCAATATTCACTTTATACTGTGAAACCAAAATCTATCAACCCAAGCTAAACAAAGTTTGAAACTCAAATCTATCCGGCCGCTATGTAGACACAAAATCTATGTCAATTACACTGAAGATAATTCAAATGTAACAAGCAATAATTAAAACACAAAATATACCAACAAAATAAACAAACAAAATATACCAATCGAATTGATAGCCTCCTCCTTTTGAAATCGGTTAAAAACGCGTCGATTTAGGGACGGAGGAGAGAGGGCCGAGACGGTGATATGGATTATGTTTAAATAACGTTGCCATGAAATGCCACGGTAAAGCTGGACCTAACCAGAAAGAAACACACGATAACAACAGGAACGCAGGTAGAAATGTTGGGAGCAGAGCCCAAGCCGACTTACGTAACATCGTTTTATTCATTTGGTACATACGTGCATGTAAATTTATATTTTTAGTCTAGTCTAGAACAACCAATGTCACTATACGTCTACTAACCATCAAAAACTATACGTAAAAGCAAACAACAATTATTCCGATGTCTTTAATTACATCTGATTTATAAGACTTTTTTTTATTTCGTAAACAATTTTAAAGCCTAATTAAAATAGATTTCGTACTCTATGTTATTAAATTTTAAAGTTTGAATACTTCAAAATGACCATTGCATAATATGATACCCTTATCTACGCCGTAATACAAATCGAATAGGTTTTGTAGAGGTGTAAACGTTATCAAGTTTTTAACTTTAAAGCAGAATACGGAAAGTGACAAAAGTGCTCCAGCCGATGCCGGTTGTTGTGCGACGCAAATAAAAGCGAATGTGAAAATCAAATTCAATTCGGAAACTCGCTTCGACGGGCGCAAACAGTATATCGCTTGGAATAAACTGTGCCATCGGTGATAAGAAATTGCACAAATTGGTAACTCACCATAGTAACCTCTGTAAATTTATTAAAAAAAAATCTTCCTTTAATGTGTCCTTGTAATCAGCCTTTTTTATTTGAGTAGGCTTTATGATATAATAGGCTTTATAATTTAAAATAGAAAAAAAAAAGTACGACTGTAAAAGTTTAAAAATTAAAAACAAAATAAAATGTATGCCTAAATACTTGCAAGTATAAATAAATTCAAAATTTTCATTGCCCACATAATTATCAACTTGTAGGTGTAAGAAACATTATTATATTTGTTCATTATCAAATAAGCTAAACCATATTATAATGGAATTATCTTATTATGTTGGTTATTTTTTTATTAAAAAAGAATTACTATTTTTATCTAAATTCATCAATAAGATTCGAAATCATTCACATATCATAAACTATTGATTTCATTGTAATCAATAATACGTATGAGTTACGCAGGCCGAATGTCATAGACATTTTGTAAGGTCTATAAAGAAATGTCTATAAATAAGTTCCGCAATTGTCGCTTATCAATATTGGATATTAACAAATCAGACTTGCATTTAGACAACACACGCTGGCCGGAACAGACTTGTTCGGCATAACGCGCGCGACCCGCAAATATATTTTTGTACGTGCATTTAAAGAAAACATCGTCCCAAATGAAAACCACCTCACCTTGACAAATCACAAGTTCGATTGTTCGGACACTATTGCAAATGCCGATTTTCAGTTTGTTAAGAACAAGTACACTTGTACATTATGTCAAAAACTTAGTGCATTAGGATTCAACGTAAATTCGTGCTAAGAGGTGAATAAACTGGAGCAAACGCGAATGACAATTTCGGTAGGCGTCGCATAGCAATAGCTTATAAATAGTACTACATGTAAAAAAATTAAAGAGCTTTTATATTGATTCGAACCATCAATATTCTCTCAGTTTTGCTTGTTTGATAAGTAGCCTATTCTCAAGTCTGTTATCAATCGCTATGAACCATATGGACTTTAGTTAACTTGGTTTTTTAAATATATATGAATCAAATGAAATACAATTTAAAGTGCATACCTCAATCCCAGTCCATTTTTTTCTTTGAATAACAGCGGAGTTGTGAAGCCATTTTTCTGCAATAGTAAATCTAAATAAGATTGATTAAACCAAGTAATGTAGACTTTAATTTTTTTTATTAAACAATAATGCAATTAAAACAATGGCTTATTAATAATTTTTGACTCAATAATAAATATGAATAAACATAAAAACTTTAAAAACAAGTCAATCTGTCTTCCACTTTCACTTTTATGAAATGTATTGAACAGTCCAATTTAGTTAAGGGCGTGTTTGCGAAATCTCGCGGAATCTGCAAAAATAGGGGGTTTTCAGGTACATTTTGCGGCAAAACGAAACGAATATAATGTAAATAACAATTATCACATATAGATCCCTCCTTCATCTTCAAATGGTAGATAGTTTTTAATCGAAAATTTTGGTTTATAATATTGTAAATGAGAATTTTCGTGACCACTTCACTCAAAATGGACGAAATCCTGTTGGGTTTAGGAACATTTTTCTCTTATTTAATAACATATTTTTTTTATTCAAAAATATTTTATGTAAGCACACATGTTCAACTCAAAAAGGTAGCTACATTACGTATCAAAATTGTTGAAATTAGTTTCAGAAAAAAATAAAGATTAAAATCTATTTCTTTCACATTTATATCTTACGCGTGAATCTTAAGTGATTGACATAAAGGTTATTTTACTGGTCACTTTTTTGATTTTTACTCCACAAAAATATTTAAAGAAATATTAGTCGGCGCTCGGCTGCCGTCATGAGTGGTCACTATGTCGCTTATAAACAGCAGCTCGTGAGGAAAAAGATCGCTGTACGAATACAAAATATTTGTCGTAACAAAGTTGATACTTTACACATCATGTTCGGACTTCGGACTACGAACGACAAAAGTAAACTATAATTCACACTTTGTCATATTTTTACTAGAAATTAGTAGGGGTTAAAAATTCATATTTCGTTACGGACTTGATGGAGTGACCTGAAGGTGTACTTCGAGAACTGCTACTGGAACTAACAGACGAGATGAGCTATGTGTGTCGAGTTTGGGCTTGTTTTGTTAGGTATGGTGAGACCTTGCCTTCTGATTTGTTGGAGTGACCTGAAGGTGTACTTCGAGAACTGCTACTGGAACTAACAGACGAGATGAGCTATGTGTGTCGAGTTTGGGCTTGTTTTATTAGGTATGGTGAGACCTTGCCTTTTGATTTGTTGGAGTGACCTGAAGGTGTACTTCGAGAACTGCTACTGGAACTAACAGACGAGATGAGCTATGTGTGTCGAGTTTGGGCTTGTTTTGTTAGGTATGGTGAGATCTTGCCTTCTGACTTGATGGAGTGACTTGAAGGTGTACTTTGAGAACTGCTACTGGAACTAACAGACGAGATGAGCTATGTGTGTCGAGTTTGGGCTTGTTTTATTAGGTATGGTGAGACCTTGCCTTTTGATTTGTTGGAGTGACCTGAAGGTGTACTTCGAGAACTGCTACTGGAACTAACAGACGAGATGAGCTATGTGTGTCGAGTTTGGGCTTGTTTTATTAGGTATGGTGAGTTCTTGCCTTTTGATTTGTTGGAGTGACCTGAAGGTGTACTTCGAGAACTGCTACTGGAACTAACAGACGAGATGAGCTATGTGTGTCGAGTTTGGGCTTGTTTTGTTAGGTATGGTGAGATCTTGCCTTCTGACTTGATGGAGTGACTTGAAGGTGTACTTTGAGAACTGCTACTGGAACTAACAGACGAGATGAGCTATGTGTGTCGAGTTTGGGCTTGTTTTGTTAGGTATGGTGAGACCTTGCCTTCTGATTTGTTGGAGTGACCTGAAGGTGTACTTCGAGAACTGCTACTGGAACTAACAGACGAGATGAGCTATGTGTGTCGAGTTTGGGCTTGTTTTATTAGGTATGGTGAGACCTTGCCTTTTGATTTGTTGGTGTGACCTGAAGGTGTACTTCGAGAACTGCTACTGGAACTAACAGACGAGATGAGCTATGTGTGTCGAGTTTGGGCTTGTTTTATTAGGTATGGTGAGGACTTGCCTTTTGATTTGTTGGAGTGACCTGAAGGTGTACTTCGAGAACTGCTACTGGAACTAACAGACGAGATGAGCTATGTGTGTCGAGTTTGGGCTTGTTTTATTAGGTATGGTGAGACCTTGCCTTTTGATTTGTTGGAGTGACCTGAAGGTGTACTTCGAGAACTGCTACTGGAACTAACAGACGAGATGAGCTATGTGTGTCGAGTTTGGGCTTGTTTTGTTAGGTATGGTGAGATCTTGCCTTCTGACTTGATGGAGTGACTTGAAGGTGTACTTTGAGAACTGCTACTGGAACTAACAGACGAGATGAGCTATGTGTGTCGAGTTTGGGCTTGTTTTATTAGGTATGGTGAGACCTTGCCTTTTGATTTGTTGGAGTGACCTGAAGGTGTACTTCGAGAACTGCTACTGGAACTAACAGACGAGATGAGCTATGTGTGTCGAGTTTGGGCTTGTTTTGTTAGGTATGGTGAGATCTTGCCTTTTGATTTGTTGGAGTGACCCGAAGGTGTACTTTGAGAACTGCTACTGGAACTAACAGACGAGATGGGCTATGTGTGTCGAGTTTGGGCTTGTTTTGTGAGTTTTTTTGAGACCTTACTTGAAATTGATGTATTGGCATGAAGGTGTAAGAATACAGTAAAAAAGTTATTTAAAATATGGAACTATGTATTCTACATCAATTCTGTGTATAAATATTTGTGAAACATGTTAATATAAAAAAAAAAATTGAAATTTAGATTATAATTATGAGTCAATAGAGTATAAATATAAGTCAAAGTAAATCACAAGTCAAAGTAATGAATTTTTAATATAAACATTCTACATTATTTGGACATGATTAAATATTTTAAATGTCTAATTTGACAGTGTACAGATTTTAGAATTTTCGTTTTAATTTAAATACTCCGGGAGGCCTATGAACCTATCTGGTATTTTATTATAAATTCTTATTTCCATGCAGCCAAATGTTGGCCAAAAGTACACCACATGTAGAAAAGTTGTATGGATAATTAAAAATACAAGTAATACAAAACAAATTTGCACACTTGCAAATTGTAAGATTAGGCATGTCTAAAAGGTCATTTTTTTGTATATTCCAATGAATAGGTGTAATAAACATGTACTTCAAAAGTTTCGAACGACAGCTATGTGGCAAACTTTTTGTTTCACGTTTATGACCCCATTTATCGTTTATTGTTTTGTCGTGTTTCGCACTGATCAACTTGTATGATCATGGATTCTGCCTAAAATAATACTTAATTTTTTTAATGACTTGCAATCTTTTGGAACAAATGGTATCTATAGTAAGAACGTCTTTAAAATAGGCAAAACACGAAAAAAAAAATAGTTATGTAAAAATGTAGTGGGTCTCAACTTAAATTATCAAAGACTTATTTTTATGGCACAGTTATCACATACAACATTTATACCTCTTATAACTCAATTGTTGTTTCAGATGCCAAAGCCTAAAACGATAAAATTTTAGCAGGCTACTACTTCGATATAGATAACAAAAATAATTAAATGATAGAGAACTATAAAGAAAAATCACAAAGATCCGACACAGAGCACCCCGACTCCGTGTGGTCTTCCCTATCCATAGAGTGAACATCAAAAGGCGGAGCCAGAACCTCGTGTCGGAGGTATAAATTGGCCTCGCGGGCTTGCTCCACCCAGGATCGACATAGCGACAGTTCTGGCGAAGAGCATGGAAGAGTCAAATTAAAAAATGAAACAATATTTTTTAAGCTATTGCACAGCTTTTATCGCGGGCTTTGAAGCGCGGCGAACGAATCAATAAATTCCGTAACGAAAATAAAACCTAACACCACCCACTCCGCCTACCACGCAAGAGGAAAGATTTGATTGTTTTTATGCATTGAATAGGCTCCTTGTAAGCTACATTATCCCCGGATGACATAGGATATATTAAATTTTCAAAAAACTAGGAATCCTTACTAAAACTTGAATAATGTAACCCAAAGTGTACAAAAATTACCTAAAATATTGTTTGCATCGCGTGCGCTGCTAAAACTATTGATAATTGTATAAAATAATGTACTACGAATTTGCAGAACACATCATTATTTATAAAAAGTGTTTCGACAGTATATGTCTAACTATTATAGTTATGCCACAATAAGTATTCTTTTACTTTAAAATTTTGATTGAAATGCCGCCGCTAGAAAAGGCTCTTTATTTGTATCTTGGTATTAATCCTTATAAAAATTTAAATTACTTTATATTTAAGACTGTTTCAATATCTTTATATAACTTTTTAAATGATTAAATTCGGACATTCCATTCGAAAGAGATCACAAGTTTTAAAAATGTTAGTATATTGTAATTTAACTATCCAGAGCTTAGTGACTGACTTAGTAGTTCTTATCATTTTTGTAAATAATATAAATTAATTATATATTATTAATTATAATATATATTAATTATTATATTATTAAAATATTATTTATTAACATAAATATAAATATCAAAGAAAAAAATACTGCATAATTAAATAATTATAATCGCATAAGTTGATAAAAGATGCTATGCTATAGCTTTACCCCAGCTGAGCCGAGTGCGACAGGTTTTTTTTTATAAAAATGTTTTTTAATTTTTACTAGTTTGTTTCCTTCGTTTTATTATTTCATTTTTAGTTTCTAGATACTAGCCCGGCTTCGTACGCCATGCTATTTCCAATTCATTTACAGAAAATTATTTTTTTTAACATTTAGCATGAATATTATTGAATCAGCAAAATGCATTCAGAATACGATACAAAGTATTTTACTCAATTCGTTAGCGGGTTTTACCTAATTATCTGCCTACATAGCTACCTTCCTACGTACCCTACCATTACCTACCTATCAAGCTATCTACCTACCGCACGCATAATCAAACATGTATTAAACAAGCTTCGTTTTCTTCATAAAAATTAATTAAAACATAAAATTAAATTATATACATAATTAATTAAAACGCAAATTATCAACAGCTACGAGCTTTTAAATGAAATTTAATAAATTATACCTAAATAATTATATAAAAAAATATTCAGTTTAAAAACTTGTTGAAAACAAATTTAACGTAAACTTAAAAAATAAATGACTTCAAATTAAATAAAAGTATCAAGTTGCGTCAGTTACATAAAGTTTCGCTGCTTCGCGCTTGTCGCTGTGTGCGTGAGCCGTGCACGTGTAGTAGTACGCCTCTGTACCTAAAATTGAAGCGCGTGAATTCGTAAACGCGTCCTTAAATCAATTATTTATTATCATACTGGACATAAAAGCATGTTGATAACAATCAGAACCTTTTAATTATTGTTTTGTATACTAACGAAATATGAGTAAAGGCATTTAAAGAGTATTCTAAACATTGTTTCTTTTAAAAAAACATACATTGTAGAGGTTACTTTTTTCTTCTTCAAGGCCATCGAAATAGCAAAGAGTAATGACGCAAAGTAACTTTGAAAGAAACAATAAAACTTTTAATGCCCTCAGTCTGCCTAGTCTGCTTTTCCAAACAAAGAGATGTCGCTCAGTGTAATGGAATGGTAAACTTCAAATGATTGTCGTCAATATGCTGCATGATTTCGACGCTCGGCTCTGAGACAAATAGTAATTGTTCGGCAGAAAATTAGTTAAGTAATAAAGTAGATTAGAGTCATGCTCGACGTGTGGTCGCGCAGCGCGCACGCCCCTGGCCGCCTGCCCTCCGCCAGCCCGCGGGAGGGAAACGCCTTCGTCCCTACCAGATGCCCGCTAGGTATGCTCCAACATCGACGTCTTTGACGCGCGCGCTGCTTTTTAACTCGCTCTTTATCATCATCGCTATAACACAATGCCGCGATCTCCGGAACTATCATAGGTTTTGACACCTTTTCGCATGCGCGAATGCATACGGCCGCCTCGTTTTGAACTTGCTCGCGGCGTGATCACAAAAAAAAATAAGTCCGATGACCCTCGCATGCAAGCGCAGTTTTAATATCTTGTCCATTGACACAATTTCTAACATGTTTTGGTATCTTTTGTAAATCAATACACGATGCAGCGAACAGCGATGCACCATTTCATGTTTACGTGATCCCAGATAAAGCCACCATGGCGTCACCCGGGACTAAATACGTAAAAAATTATCAACAAACACTTACCAGTTGCCTCGGCACTTGTTTTTTGTTATTCGGCAGTGTTTCCGACATGTTTCTGTAAGTCAGAAACACTGCACCACGAAATTAACACTATTTTACGTAAATATTTTACACGGAGCACGAGAAAAAGAAACGCAATCCACCATTTGCAACAGACGACACTGCTGCCAACATCGCACCTAGCAATCACTCTGACTACTTACTTGAAGTTGGCGACGCTGCGCATGGCCTACCTATTGGTTTATTTATGAAATAGATGGCGGGAATCGGCAAGATTTAAAACATCGCTAATATGTATCACAAAGGGAAAATTGTTATTGAATGTTTTAGGCTCAAAACGTTCTAATAACTTTACAAATAACCGTTCATAAAAATATTTGAAAGATGTTACTCTTAAAAATCTTTACGACGTTTTTGAAAATGAAGCTGGAAATAATCAAATTTTTTATTTTATTAAAACGAAATTACTGTTAAGTTATAACTTATGCTGTACTTAATACAAAATGGTATTATGATGATATTATGAATAAAGAGTAATTAAAGTAAGTAATAAGCTTCAAGTAACGTTATTTTAAATTTTATTTCAATTTTTAAACATATTCAAATTAAAATCTATCGTGTTTCTGACTCAGTTTTTATTATTTACTGTGGCAATCTAAAATAAATGACGATGCATGTTTGAAATATAGTTCTTAAATTTATAATTATTTTAAATCAATTACAACCTAACTGCTGCTTTATATACTAATTATAAATAAGTTGCACCTAGTTAGGTCTTGTACCATATATTATCTAGATATTTAACATTTATTAATTCACATCACTCTTATTTTACGCCTATGCTACTAGATGGCGCTAAAATTATATATATCATTTTTGAATTTAATTATGTAATTGCATGTAGTACTCTATAGGTCTATTATGTACAATGTACTCTATTGAAGGTTGTTATCATCATTTAGATATGGACTGCAATAGCCTTCTTTCTATATTTTGTTAAAGTCAAAGTCAAAGTCAAAGTATATTTATTCAATATAGGCCTAACTTAAGCTCTTATTGAACGTCAACAAAAATCTACCACCGGTTCATTAAACTAGACCTGCACAGAGAAGAACCGGCAAGAAACTCTGCGGTCTTGTTCTTTTTGTTATATATATATATTTTTTTTTTAATGCAATTCTACACACTTATTTGGGTATAAAATCAGCAGCAGCCAGGGGTCTTGCAAGTGCAGAGCAAGAGTCATTTCCAAACATCCTTGTCCTCTATGTATTCTTGGATATTATAATAAGCCCTTGCCATTCAGGTAGCTTTTACAAATTGTTTGAAATTGTTTATACTTAGTTGTTTGTGGATGTCACCTATTTTATTATAAAAGTTGATGCATCTTCCAAGAAACGACTTTCTGGTTTTAGCTAATCTAAACCTCGGTACTTCCAGAGTGTCACCACGGCCCCGACGCGATGTGGATTGTTTTTTCGTAAATAGGTCGATATTATTACGTACATACATGATGTTCTCAAGTATGTAAAGCGACGGGAGCGTCAAGACGTTTATTTGCTTAAATGTATGTCGTAGCGACTCACGTGGACCCAAGCCATAGACGGCCCGTATAGCCTGCTTTTGTAATACAAATATTGTGTCTAGACCGGATGCGGAACCCCAAAGTAAGACACCATAGGACATTATGCTGTGAAAATAAGCATAATAAACTAATTTTGCAGTTTCCTCATTAGTTAGCTGCCTGATTTTGCGTATGGCAAAGACGGCAGCGCTCAATTTCTTAGCTAACTTATCTACATGTAATCCCCATTGCAACTTGGAGTCAACGCTTATTCCAAGAAATGCTGTTGAATCCTCAAGGGGTAGGATTTTCTCATCAATAGAGATTCCTGATTGGTGACACAACTTTGAAAGAGTAAATCTAATACATTTTGTTTTATTGGAGTTCAAAAGTAAATTATTGGTAGCAAACCAGCCAGACACAACATCTAGTATTTCATTTGGTTGTTCCAGTGCATCATCTTTCCTTTTAACTTTAAACAATAATGAAGTGTCATCCGTAAACAAAACAATTTGAGACCTTTTTTCCACTATATATGGCAAATCATTAATATAAACTAAAAACAGAAAAGGGCCCAGGATCGATCCTTGAGGAACGGCCATTTTTACTTTTGACCCCGTTGACAATATACCATTTATGATTACTTTTTGTTCCCTGTCAGTAAGATATGAGGAAACAAAGTCAATGGCACAATTGCGAATACCATAAAATTCCAATTTCCTGATTAGAATTGTATGATCTACACAGTCAAATGCCTTGGAAAGGTCACAGAACACACCAATGGTGTCATGAAAGCTTTCCCAGGACTGCAGGATATATGAAACTAATTCTATCCCTGCATCAGTTGTAGATCTACCTTTAGTAATCCAAACTGGTGCTGGTTTAAAATTTTATATTTGTTAAAATGTACTATCATTTGATCCAGCATTATTTTCTCAAACACTTTGCTTAAGGCCGGCAACATAGAGATAGGACGGTAATTAGAGGCATCATCTCTCGAACCCGATTTATATACTGGCACAACTTTGCTATATTTCATTAACTTTGGGAATTTGCTACTGTCTAAACATGTATTAAATATTTGGGCTAATATGCAAGCAATGTCATAGATTATAAGATCAATTGCCCATATTTATAAGCCCCATAAGTCTTCTGTTTTCTTTTTATTTAGATTTTTAAATGTTTTAATAATATCATTCGGGCCTATATGACAAAATTTAAAATCTGGAACAGAAATAATAACATATTTATCGAGATATGTTACTGCCTCTGTGGGACAGTGTTGCAAATGTCTAGTAGTTTCACAAGGTATATTTGTGAAGACATTAAGAAACTCATTTGCTACTTTATATTTTTCTTTTAAAACTTTGCCATTAACTTTTAATGTAAAATCTGCCTTTATTCCATTATTTTTGCCAATTTCCTTATTTATTACATTCCATGTACTTTTAACTTTATTTGAAGACAATTTAATTTTATTACTCAAATAGTCTGCTTTAGCTAAAGTACAGACCCTTTTAAAAAATTTTTGAATAATTCCTAACATGTTCATGGAAGTTAGGATCAAAAGATAATGACTTAATACCATATAGATCATATAGTTTATCCCTGCTCTTTCTAATTCCCTTAGTTGCCCACTCACTAAAGCAAAGTTTATTGCCTAAAGTTATAGTTTTTCTTTTCGGCATAATTTTATTAAATTCTGTAGTAATCATAAGGTTAGGGGAATAACAGATAGTTTGTGACGTATATTATTACAAGAATTAATATTTGTATTTGTATATATTGGAGTGACTAGTTGATTTTTAGGACATGATGTAGGATGTGATGAATCTCCTAAAAATCAAGTAAAGAATTTTATTCAGTGGGATATTTGAAGTCAATTTCGGTTTTGTTAGTAAAAATGTCAACTGAGATGCATATCGCCACGTTCAGAGCACCTTACCCTGTGGCTTATCCCTCAAATGGGATGCATATCGCCACGTTCAGAGAACCTTACCCTGTGGCTTATCCCTCACAACTGGGATGTATATCCCCACGTTCAGAACACCTTACTCTGTGGATTATCCCTCAAAACTGAGATGCATATTGCCACGTTCAGACTTCAGTGATTTATCAAACTTAGGTAACTTTACTAGTTACACCAGTCGTGTATCGCTACGTTGTTCAAAGTGATAATGTTCACAATGGATATCCATCACCAGTTCATGCCTTAAATCTTCCAACTACTAAAATGCTCGGTAGCTTAACCGGGTAAACCAGTTGTGTATCGCTATTTTACATTTTCTCAAATATGTCAAGTAATTAATTACCTGGAAGGTACTCACCAAAACTTTCGTTACATTTAACAAAAAGATTTTATCACCATTACGTATACGTAAATATAAAATTCACTGTTTTATTTTACGAGGGTAGGCACCCAAGGAGAAAATATATCATCGATTGTTTGAAGTTATCCAAAGTGTACTTACGCTATCTTTTCGTTTCCCATCTTTTAAAATATACAAGCGCATAACAGAATCATATTATGTAAAAAATTTATGCATAAGTTTTTTGTACAATAAATTTATTAATATGGTTGATCACTTGATTAGCCATTACAAGATGTGATGTCAATCCCAATCAGAAGTTATAATATCTATTAATAGGGACATAGGGATAGTCATAAGTATAAAAGTTAAAATAAAGTTTATTTCTCATATTGTCTATTTTTCAAATGGTTAATTAGTATTACTTTCATATTTTGTGTTCTTCAGTTTTATCTATTCGGAATCGCAATTCCGCTCGTTCCAATGTATATTTCTATTAACAATTATTCACTTGGTCCAAACATCGGTAATTGAGCACAATCAAGTTTCATTATTTACAAAATATTTTTCTAACGATCGTAGTACCTTTCAGTATAAGGTTTTGTGTCATTATAAAATAATAAAAAGTAACAGCCTAAACATGTCTCACTGCTGGGCAAAGACCCATACTCAGGGTATCAAGGCATAGTCCATCACGCTGCTCCACTGCGGATTGGCCGACTTCACGTATCCTCGAATTTTTTTTTTGTTATTATTTAGAAAATATGCAGATCACAATAATATGAAAAATATAAAATAATATTTTACACATTATGAACATTGATTAAATCTAAGGTCAACTTGTTTTATTTACTGTGACTATTTTATAAATGAAATTTCTTGAATTGACGGTGTATGTCTCAGAACAATAAAAAACATTTTATATTTTATTGTTCCGAGGCGTATATCTATTTGGAAATGTTTATTTAAATGTAGTAAATGAGGAAGATATATTTCACATCCAAAAGCTTAGTACTGATATCATGTCTATCAGTTTTTTAATACCAATATCCACTCACACAGTTACGGAGATTAGAATTTGAAGGGAACCCCTGTCAATTGACCTCGCTATTGGTGAACTTTCATCAGTCTTGCATGCTTCGCGAAAAAATATTTCAGTGCCATCTATTAGTGTTTTTGGTGAGCATTTAAGCAGGTATTATCCGAGCCCTGTTCTTTTCACAAAGAATCATGAAGAAAACATTTAAAAATAGTCTAACATGCAACATGCAAATTTAATTTGAGAAATCGTCAAAGTATCGCTTAATTGTTTTGTATATTACTTTTTTATTTTATGGCCCGGTATCTAGGGCCTTTAGGCCAATGTTTAAGAGTTAATTACTTTTCAAAAAACGGAAAAATATACGTGAGTCCTGTCGAAGTATGTTTATATAAACTAAATTTAGTCGTAATTTCAAGGTCATTTTTATACTAATAAGTTTTAAAATAAACCATCAAATTTAAATAATAATTAAAATTGTGAAACTTGTAGTATAATTATGTGTTTTAATGTATGGAGTTACGCTAATTCTCTGAATATGTTTGTTCCTTGCAGATAGGTCGTTTTGATTTATGAACATTAACTTGTTTAGAATTTATTACTCGAGTAATCAGTTTATAATAATAAACAATACAACATGATATTGTATTTTAAACTTTAATTAATTTTCGCAATGAAAAGAATCTTAACCTCTCATAGCCTCTCTTATATGTATTATATATATGTATATCTTAAATTTTTCAAAGGCCATTTAGTCAATGGTAAATTGTCTGAAATCTCTATGGAGGCCACTTCAAATTAACGACCTACGATTTTTCATAATTATAAAAAGAAAGAAAATCAGGTAGTCTGTACTCCGTATCTACATACCTATTATAAACATTTCATGAATTATGAAAATAAAAGAGGAAGTTTTGCAATCTATGATCTTTGGTGATGCGTCTATGGAACCTATGGAAACTACAAAAGATTGGTTTCATCCTTATTCATGCTTAACCGGTAAATTGCACAAAAACCCTACTAAAGGTTTAAAGGTTATGTTTAAATTAAAGCGTTGTTGTGCGCGGTCCAATAGAAAATACTTTTAACACCTGCCTCTTTTGTCTCTGCGTCACCCATAGGTTGACTGGGAGAGAATGCCAGATCAGATATATATAAGTACTCTTTGGAGAATGCCTTAGGCATTAAGTCCACCTATACACAATGTCTATTTTTTTTGTGTAAAAGTTTAAATTAATGACAAGACACCGGCAGAATGCTTCATAGCATGCTGTACGCTTGATAAATAAAAAAACAGAACTTGCATTGAGTGCGTGGAACGTCGAACAAATTTTCCGGTAAAATAGGGAATGGAACATATTTGTGTAATCCCGACGAACTTTAAAATGCATCCTGTAGAAAGCCAGAGGCTGACCTAATGCTCGTAAAAGGACGGTTCACATTTTCTCTCTGAACGCCATGTAATATAGCACATGCTATTTAAAATAAAGAAAGAGACAAAAATATTTGAATGCTCTCTTCGGATTCGTTACTATACTTATAAAAAAATACTGGAAAATCGTAAATAAAAAATATTGATTAGAAGTAGACAGTCTGTCCCGTGACCATGAACGCTGTAAAGGGTTCGAAATGTCGGGAATTAAAAATAAACGTGATAAATCCGTAGAATTAGTTACATTTATAATGTGTAATCGCGTAAATACAAGAAATTTTCATAGAAGTAGACAGTGTAAAGTTCACTAACTTTATTGTAATTTGAAAAAGAGTTAAGTAAATAGATATTTAAATAGTTAAGTAATGAATTTAAGTTTATATATTTACTTAAAACCTTGTTTATAATGGTTGATTGATAATTCTGTTATAAGAATAATGAGGTTGAAAATAAACATTTTGAAATAAATTATTTATCAATCATAAACTGCTGATTGAAAGTACAACAATTTTAGCTAATTGTCAGTCGACCTGATTTCTCACCAACTAAGTTGATTGACGTAAGACATTCGGTTGTTTTTAGGCTTAAGCAAATTAAAATATTTTAAGGAGTTATACAAGAATATTTTAATTAAATTTAATACAATAAAAATATTATTTTATAGCTTAATCATCACATCAATAAAATCAAGACATACTTTGTGTCTACTTTCAGAACATAGCGAATATTAGTAATTCTCTTCTTAATTAAAAATTAAATTATTTTAAAAAATAGACGACATGGTGGATTCCTTTAAGAACAATTGAAAATTGAAATGATTATATCAGAAAATTACTGCGACAGTGAGCTTTGAATTTCTCTATCCAGCGTCCTGAAGCGTTATGCGATAGTACTTTAATACAGGGTCTTCGATTAGATACTCGCTGTCTACAACTCCATTGTCCTCGTAAAAACCCGTACATCTAGTCAGCCAATCCAAATAGAGCTTGAGATATCTGTCACCGGGATTCACATCCGTGTGACCTAAACAGAAAATCCTGTACGCATCCTCGCCGTACTTCCCTATGCCGCAAAGATCACTGGCCCGTCGCCATTTCGACGACACAAACTGGTAGGACAACTTCCAAATCATATGCCCGCGTTTCCTGAGGCCCAGATTCTCGAAGAACCTCTCCAGTGAGGTCGGACAATCGCTTAGGACGTCGTAAGGCGTCGGATATTCCTCAAAGAAACTTTTTATGTAGCGCCTGGCGGTTTTTCCCGACGTTTTGGTTAGAAAAATTGTTGCTATTAACATCGCCCAGGGGTTTCGGGAGAACTCCTCTTCTATGACGTAATGTGGTGACGTAGGCATCTCTCTGATGGTTATGTTGAAAAATGGCTCAATGTTAAGCGGTTCGGGCTCGTCTATGGTTAGCTGTGTTATGCTTAATGAATCCGATTCCGAGTCCATAGACGTCTGGCTGAGATCTTGACTGGAGTCTAAGTCTGTGTGTAATGTTCGTCCAATTTTATGTGGACTGGTAGCACTGATTTCACTATTGTTGTCCACCTTGAAGAACCGACTGACGCAACTGACATTTTCGCGGATCATTGATATTCTGAAAAAAAAAAAAGTTATAGTAGGTGAAAATTAAAGTTTCATACACAGCGCAGATAGTGTGGGATCACGGACGGATCATAATTATCCTCCGAGAAAATGCGACACATTGTTTATGAGTTTATGTATGTCTACATTTAAACGTTTAAGATATAGTTTGATTAAAAACATTGCGGCTGCATTTTCTACACAGGTTGCACTTTGAGATAAGTTAATGAATGTATTTAATCAATTACGTGTGATTTTAAATATTTATCATTTTTTTATAAAATTATATGTCTAGAATTTAATAAAAACAATGGATACACTTAATCTTTTAATTTTGACTCAAGATACAGTGTATCTGCCAAATAAATATAAGCACAAGATAGCTATGTTATTAGCATATAATATAAATAATGACAATCCAGTATTAAATAGACTGTCTATTAATACTGAAGCTCATACTTTTTTAGTAATTTAAGGCAGACAAAAGAGAAACCAGATGTTAAAACTGTTAGCTTCTTATATCAAAATATAAACCATTTCTCTTGCAAGATCCTTGACGTAGAACTTCTAATTGATAAGTATAATGTAGATATCTTGTGCTTTACTGAGACATGGCTCAATGATGTCATTTAGTATAAAAAATTATTCAGTAGCCAGTAAATTTAACAGAGTATCTGCTATGGGAGGGGGGTGTGTCTCATCCTACATAGAAATACTTTGAAATTAAAAGAAAGAACTGATATTGTTGCATACTCTGTTGAACGACTATGTGAGATTGCATGTGCAGAGACAGAAGATTATTTATTAATGTGTGTTTATAGACCACCCTCATCTGATCTTATAAATTTTTTATTAATTATTGAAGACATCTTGATTAAAATATTTAAAATAAAAAAGCATATAGTCATTTGCGGTGATTTTAACATTGATTTACTGACAGATTCTCCAGATAAAGTGAGATTTCTGTCACATCTTAAAACATTTAATCTTTACTGTGTCTTCGATGAACCAACAAGAGTAACCCCATCCTGTGCCTCTTGTATAGATAATATTATAGTAAATTGTAAAATCGTAAACCAAGAAATATTGAGGGGTGTTAGATCTGACCATAAAGCCCTTAAAATAGACATCTATGTTAATAACAAAAATAATGTTATTATAAATGAGTGTAGGCTTGTAAATAAATTCAGAATTAAACAGTTTAGAGATAGCGTCAAACACAAGCTACCCTCATTAAAGTTAACTAATAATGATCCCGATGACAATTTCAATGCCTTGTTTACTATGATTACTACAGAATTTAATAAAATTATGCCAAAAAGAAAAACTATAACTTTAGGCAATAAACTTTGCTTTAGTGAGTGGGCAACTAAGGGTATTAGAAAGAGCAGGGATAAACTATATGATCTATATGGTATTAAGTCATTATCTTTTGATCCTAACTTCCATGAATATGTTAGGAATTATTCAAAAATTTTTAAAAGGGTCTGTACTTTAGCTAAAGCAGACTATTTGAGTAATAAAATTAAATTGTCTTCAAATAAAGTTAAAAGTACTTGGAATGTAATAAATAAGGAAACTGGCAAAAATAATGAAAAAAAGGCAGATTTTACACTAAAAGTTAATGGCAAAGTTTTAAAAGAAAAATATAAAGTAGCAAATGAGTTTCTTAATGTCTTCACAAATCGTGGGCGTAGAAGGAAAACCCGCTAAGTCCAAATTCGTCATTTGGAGATAAATGGGTTTGAAAATTCAATAAGTCGTGAAAAATCGCATTATTCCTTCAGGACTTAGCTGAATGACTTAGCCTGAAATATGGACAACGATTTTTTTTAATGGAGTACCCGGTACTCTACTGCAGAACCCCCCAAACATTATGTGGACGCAAAGAACGCATTTTTAGCCAAAAATGGACTTAGCGGGTTTTCCTTCTACGCCCACGAAATATACCTTGTGAAACTACTAGACATTTGCAACATTGTCCCACAGAGGCAGTAACATATCTCGATAAATATGTTAATATTTCTGTTCCAGATTTTAAATTTTGTCATATAGCCCCGAATGACATTATTAAAACATTTAAAAATCTAAATAAAAAGAAAACAGAAGACTTATGGGGCTTATCAATATGGGCAATTGATCTTATAATCTATGACATTGCTTACGTATTAACCCAAATATTTAATACATGTTTAGACAGTAGCAAATTCCCAAAGTTAATGAAATATAGTAAAGTTGTGCCAGTATATAAATCGGGTTCGAGAGATGATGCCTCTAATTACCGTCCTATCTCTGTGTTGCCGGCCCTTAGCAAAGTGTTTGAGAAAATAATGCTGGATCAAATGATAGTACATTTTAACAAATATAAAATTTTAAACCAGCACCAATTTGGATTTACTAAAGGTAGATCTACAACTGATGCAGGGATAGAATTAGTTTCACATATCCTGCAGTCCTGGGAAAGCTTTCATGACACCATTGGTGTGTTCTGTGACCTTTCCAAGGCATTTGACTGTGTAGATCATACAATTCTAATCAGGAAATTGGAATATTATGGTATTCGTAATTGTGCCATTGACTTTGTTTCCTCATATCTTACTGACAGGGAACAAAAAGTAATCATAAATGGTATATTGTCAACGGGGTCAAAAGTAAAAATGGGCGTTCCTCAAGGATCGATCCTGGGCCCTTTTCTGTTTTTAGTTTATATTAATGATTTGCCATATACAGCGTGTCGTTACCATCGCGACAATAAATGAACACACGTCTAACGCTACTTGCCAATAATCATAAAAAAATGTTAACGTTAAACAAAATCCATAATTAAAAAATATTTTTTTTAAACAAAATAATTAAGTAAAAAAGAAACAAAATTTGTAACATCCTATACAACTCGCGCCACAGCGTCGTGTTACAAGCCTCTCCTTCTAACAGTATGTTTTGTCTCTTTTAAATTCATTCAACCCATTCATATGCTTTGTGACCTTTACAAATTAATTTTACGTTACGCTTTTATAGGTAAGGGTGTTCTAAAATTCTTTGTTTTGGAAAATTTAATAACTCTGTAAATATTGATGATTGAACTAAAAATTTATCCCCTATATGTGTGTTCATTTATTGTCGCGATGGTAACGACACGCTGTATAGTGGAAAAAAGGTCTCAAATTGTTTTGTTTGCGGATGACACTTCATTATTGTTTAAAGTTAAAAGGAAAGATGATGCACTGGAACAACCAAATGAAATACTAGATGTTGTGTCTGGCTGGTTTGCTACCAATAACTTACTTTTGAACTCCAATAAAACAAAATGTATTAGATTTACTCTTTCAAGAGTTGTGTCACCAATCAGGAATCTCTATTGATGAGAAAATCCTACCCCTTGAGGATTCAATAGCATTTCTTGGAATAAGCGTTGACTCCAAGTTGCAATGGGGATTACATGTAGATAAGTTAGCTAAGAAATTGAGCGCTGCCGTCTTTGCCATACGCAAAATCAGGCAGCTAACTAATGAGGAAACTGCAAAATTAGTTTATTATGCTTATTTTCACAGCATAATGTCCTATGGTGTCTTACTTTGGGGTTCCGCATCCGGTCTAGACACAATATTTGTATTGCAAAAGCAGGCTATACGGGCCGTCTATGGCTTGGGTCCACGTGAGTCGCTACGACATATATTTAAGCAAATAAACGTTTTGACGCTCCCGTCGCTTTACATACTTGAGAACATATAATATCCACCTATTTACGTAAAAACAATCCACATCGCGTCGGGGTCGTGGTGGCACTCTGGAAGTACCGAGGTTTAGATTGACTAAAACCAGAAAGTCGTTTCTTGGAAGATGCATCAACTTTTATAATAAAATAGGTGACATCCACAAACAACTAAGTATAAACAATTTCAAACAATTTGTAAAAGCTACCTTAATGGCAAGGGCCTACTATAATATCCAAGAATACATACAAGAGGACAAGGATGTTTGGAAATGACTCTTGCTCTGCACTTGCAAGACCCCTGGCTGCTGCTGATTTTATACCCAAATAAGTGTGTATAATTGCATTAAAAATATATATATATAACAAAAAGAACAAGACCGCAAAGTTTCTTGCCGGTTCTTCTCTGTGTAGGTCTAGTTTAGTGAACCGGTGGTAGATTTTTGTTGACGTTCAATAAGAGCTTAAGTTAGGCCTATATTGAATAAATATACTTTGACTTTGACTTTGACTTATAAAAGCCTCCACTGCTTACTCCTAAACTGCTTAATTATTTATTATTCCATACATAATAAAACTAAAATGTAAATCCTTTCTTGGCTGGAAGTTAAGAGTTTAAGCATAAGTGATATACATGTAAAGAACTAAAGGCTGTGGATTGTGGCTCAATAAAATAAAATAATCTTAGTGGACCGAATTGTGAATCTAAATCATTCTCGAATCGACCTGAAGACACAAAAATTTCATTAAAATCGGTCCAGCCATTTAGGAGGAGTTCAGTGACATACACACGCACAGAAGAATTATACATCTATAATAATTATATAATAACTATATATATTCAAATAATCTTTTGTCAATCTTCATTGACAAAAAATATTTTGGAACAAAAAGTAATTAAAGGTTAGTTGATCTATAAATTACTACTAAAATATTTTTTAAGCAAAAACTTTCTAGTATGTAATTGACTACTATATTACTTGATGGTAAGATATAAGATATTACTATAACCTGTATTACTTTATTGCGATATAAACGAGGATTGAATAATTTGTACATAAGAAACTGTATATGATGTACTCCGTTATATTCGATAACAACTTTTGGTGCTATTCCACTGGAAAAATCTTATTCTTTCGCTCTTCCTTTATAAATTGTATAGAGAAAGACAACGTAGCTGAACGAAGCACAGGACGCTAAAATTATTTGCTAAAGTCAAATACGGAGAGATGTAGGAAACCCAAATCAAAAAAATACCAGAAAAAAAACATATAGCAACATTCTAGCTTTTTAG